GGGGGGGGGGGGGGGGGGTTGCTGGTAAGTTCTTGCGCGACGTTCATCACCCGCGTGGGAGGGAGCCATTTCGACATAAGGATAGAAATGGGCTTTCTGGTACGGGCGGCCGCGTGTGGAAAAAGCAAGTACAGCAGTTGCTGGTGTTGCTGTTATTGTGTCTGCCCACCAGAGACTACCGATCTCCGCTCAGAACCATCCACAACACAAATGGTCACCGGCCAACCACCAAATACATTCATATGCCTCGTGAAAGCACAACTAAAAAAAGGCGAATGTGGGTGATATGCGTGGGAACGGCCACAGCAGCAGTCGGAGAGGGAGCAGGAACGCACAAGCGACATCGCAATGCTTTCTTCGCATGCATAGATACTAGAAGAAAATCTCGGGGAGTGGACATCACCTTGTAGCCGGATCCGGACGTGCCGCTCATGGGCTCGGGCATGACGATGTCGTAGTCCCCCTCGTTGTCGGGGCAGCCCTCCGACCCGTACGGGCACAGGGCGGTCACCCACTCACCGCATTCATCCTGCCGAGGTAAAAGAGTAGGCAGTTTCAAGCGGACAAGTGCTGGATATTTTAAACTTCTTCCTACCAATGAGGACGCCAGGAAAATTATCTGTGCCGTAAGCCACAACAAATAAGTTATTCAAGTGCAAATCTCTTACATATTCTCGCCTCTCTGGTCCAGAAATGTCGTCTCGAACGTCTCGACAACAAGCACAGAGGGGCAAAGAGTGGCCATTGCCGCTCGAATCTGACTATTCTAAGCATAGGTAGTTTTCGTGAGTTGCGTTTGCCGCTCTGGGTTGCCGCTGTCTACACATCCTGGGAATCGTTCTGACCTCTACGCGCAAGTCCCACCCATCCCCTCCCCTACTCATCCACCGGCAGAAGAAGACAAAACGCCTCCGCCGTCACAGGGTACTGTAACTAGCCCAGGTGAGATGCTGCACAAAAAACACCCTCTCTCATAGACCTACAACTGCTGGCATTCTTTTAACCCCTTCGTCGCACTTGTGTCTTGTCGCGCACCATATGCTCGTGAGCGCGTCCGCACACAGCAGTTTCACTATCGTTGTCGCTTGGGTGCACGTAGCTATTAAGCTCACCTCGAAGCAAACCGAGCCGCAGTAGTAGAGGTCGATCTCGAAGCGGCTGCTGGTCGTGCCTTCCCACTCCACGGTGTACGTTCTAATCGAAACGGAAGTGGAGATTGTGGCCAGGGTGGCGGAGCGTGAGGGAAAAACATGGAATAATTGAGTACGGTAGTTCCCGACAACGACACCAATAGAACACACGCACACCAGGGACAGGCTAGTAAAATGCAGCACCGGGTCGTCGGTTGGCGCGGTGCCACGTCGCGCCGACATAAAAAAGATAAGGTCAGAGTTACCACCGAATTCGTGTCAAGCTGCACACTATCCGCATACATGCGAGGCACGTACCGCGGCAAGCTGTGCTCATCGTGCACAAGGAGTCAATCTAGTGTACACGCGTGAAGCGCTGGTTGATCGTAAGTGCGCGTACAGCAGTCTTCAAAGAAGAGCCGGACCGTTGTTCCCCCCACGTTTCTTCCCGTAAAAAAATATTAATAACCGTCACGTGGGGGCTTCCGTCAAACACCAGGCCGGCAGGGGCGCCGCACAAAAAGAGGAACCCTGATGGGAACACGATAACACGATAACTTTTAGAGAGTGCCCGAAAATGGTGCCAACGGAACTCTTGATTCGTTTACAAGAAAGGAGGACCGAAAAATATTACTGCAGTAGTTCTCCTTTTCCTTTGGGTGCAGAATGCAGGGTTCATGGTTGTTGTAGCGTTTTCGGTCTTTCGCTCGACTGCCGAAAAGCAGCGCGTGGCCGCCGCCGCCGTCCAGCAACAGACGGTACCGTTATTTCTGCGAGAGAGCATGTGACGTTATCACTACGCTTGCGTACAGAGGGTGGTGGAAATCAGCTCGTGTTTCACGTAATAAACCTTGTCATTGTTGTTTTCACATCAAAATCCGGTCCGTTCTCGCCACCTTGACGCGGTCGATTCCCGTGGTCCGGTCGCCCCGGTGGTCTAGTGGGTAACCTCGCAGCCTGCTAAGGGCCAGGTCATGGGTTCGAGTCCCGGCAGAGTGAGTTTTTTTCTCACTAAATAAATCCTGGTCGACGCGCTGCAAAGCTCGTTGTTAGTAAGGCCAATTGTTATGGGGAATTCCAATTTGGAAATTTGCGAGCTTGGAAAAAGCGGATTCCAGCGGGGAATTCCAATTGGGAATTCCGGCAGCATCCTAAGTTATGGGACAATTAGAAAATCTGCTACACGCGGTGGGTAGTTGCGTGGGGGGGTGGTGTCGAGTTTCGAGGCACGGAGCTGGCAAGTTAGAAAAGGGCGCGCTACCATCGTATCTTGTGGTCCATCATCGTGCCGAGGGCGTACCGAAAGCACGGCAGCACCACCTGCGGCGAATGCGCCCCCTGATCTGAGCACCTGCGAGCCTCTCGACTGGGCGACAGATAATTCCAACGATCTCGAGTGGGCGTGGGATCGGTTTCTCTCGCGCCCTTCCCACAGCGGTGAGCCGTGGACACACCAGCAGCGCGTCTTGCTCCAGAATCCGGCCCTCTACTACTCCAACCAATCTGTGAGGGAGAAGGGCGAGATGCAGGAAGCCCAGCAGTGGAGGCATGCTGCTGAATGCATGAGAACGACGGCGGCGCCTGGGACAATTTTGTTCTTTCGCGACGTCTGTAACTTCAGGATCCCCAAGGGTCTCAACGCAGCCCAGCTGGGCAGAACGTCGGGCCGAGGTGAGCGAGGGTTTGGCACCACTCTCTCGTACTCTTCCGCCGTGTAGAGGTGTAGAGACGATATATAGGACGCACACGAGCGGGAGGCAGTCGCATACATTTGTAGCGCGGGCTCCTCGTACATACCAGGACAGCCAGTCCATTTTTGAAATGATGGAAGGTTTTTGTCGGAANAAGTGCCGGCGGGTAAAAATCAAGGTCCCAGGAAGGGGGCCAAAATTCGAAAAATGCGCAATGCGCTTGATGCGAATGC